GCCCTCCTCGGCCTCCCAAAGTGCTGGGATTACAGGCGTGAGCCACCACGCCCGGCCTATTTTTAGTTTTTTGAGGAACCTCCTCACTGTTCTCTAGAGTGAGTGCACAATTTTTCAGCCTCCCAAAGTGCCAGGATTACAGGCGTGAACCACGGTGCTTGGTCTGTTTCTTTTAAATATACACCCAGAAGTGGACTTAGTGGACCATATGGTAGCTCTACGTTTGGTTTTTTGAGGAACCTCCCCACTGTTCTCTATAGTGAGTGTACAGTGTTTCAACCTCCCAAAGTTCTGGGATTACAGGCGTGAGCCACCGCGCCCAGCTCACTGTAGGATTTTTCTTAACGCGTTACATACCTTGCTGGGATTTTAGCAGAGATCACAATATTAAAAACTTGGGGAAGGATTTCTATGACTCTCGTTTTAACTACGAGGAAATGTCGACTTCTAGTTTTGTAACGTCCTGCCCAGGTGCGGTGGTCGTTAACGTGTGGAGTTGGGATGACGTCCAAGTCAGTTGGTTGCCCAACCTTTATTCTGCCTTGTCCCGTAGATTTAGAAAGAGGCTGACACATCAGGTAACTAGTTTAGAGTCATCTGATCATGCGGGTAAGCAGCGTTTTTCAGAGGCCAAGGCCTTCCCTCTCATTTCACTAGTGGGAAGGGCGGAAAGAACAGAACGGAAAGCTCTTCCTCTTGTGTGAGGCAGTTGCTGTGGAAACCCCACAGGCAGGAGGCCCCTGGACAGCACATCCTGTCGGCTTGTGTCCTTGCACTGGTGCGTCCCAGGCCAGGCCGGACTGCTGGGACCAGGGCCATGTATCGCTACCCCACCGCCCTCCTAGGCCTAGGTGAGTCCTGGAGGCAGCGGGGAGGCTGGAAAGGGGGTCGGGAGGTCTGGAAAGTTCCCTGCTCAAGCCTGACTCCAGTGCAGAAGATTCTGGGAAGGAAAGTGTCCTCCTCCCCCAAGACTGCCCTGCTGCTCTCCCCGGGGCCTAAGTCTGACCAGAGAAGACCTTGTCCTAAAAACAGGGGCCTGGGTGTGGGGATGAGGTCAGCTTTAAGAAGGGCTGGGGGGGCAGGAGCCTTTTTGGAAGAGAAGACTTTGGGATTTATCTTGAAACCATTTTGCAGCAAGAAGGATTACACCGAGATAGCGATGTCGAGGAGGGTTGGTTTGGTCCTGATGAAATGCTGAACGCCCCCCAGCTCCATCCAGCCCCCTTTTGATAGCAGCCCCGTAAGGAGACTGGGTGGTGGCACTTTTCTCACTGGGGCTTCTCTTGCAGTGCTCTGCCTGGCCCAGACGATCCACACGCAGGAGGGTGAGTCACACCTTCGTCCCGTCTTCCCCGTCCCCTCTGGCACCCCAAGGGCAGTTCTGGGTGGGAGTCATGTTGATGCTTAGAGGGCCTGGAGGGATCCCTTTAAATATACCCTAGATTGCAAACTCTTCCAAATGTAAAATGCATAACCCTCAGCCCTTTCACTCCTTCATTCTCCACCTGTCATATTTTGCTTTTCTTATTTTCAAAAATCTTATATTTTATTTTATTTATTTATTTATTTTTTTGAGATGGAGTCTCGCTCCATCACCCAGACTAGGATGCAGTGGCAGAATCTTGGCTCACTGCAACCTCCGTCTCCCAGTTTCAAGTGATTCTTCTGCCTCAGCCTCCTGAGTAGCTGGGATTACAGGTGCCCACCACCACCCCCAGCTAATTTTTTTTTTTTTGTATTTTCAGAAGAGACGGGGTTTCACTATATTGGCCAGGCTGGTCTCGAACTCCTGACCTTATGATCTGCCCACCTCAGCCTCCCACAGTGTTGGGATTACAGGCGTGAGCCACTGCACCCAGCCAAAAATCTTATTTTTAATCGACAAATAATTGTATATGTTTGTGGGTTACCATGCGATGTTACAACGTATGTAAACATTGTGGAAAGATTAAATAAGGCTAAATAACATAACAATCACATTACATACTTATAGTGATGAGAATATTTAAAATCTACTTTTAGCAATTTTGAAATATATCATAAGTTATTATTAACTATAGTCAGCCTGCTGTGCAATAGATCTCAAAAACTTACTCCTCCTGTTTAACTGAAACTTTGTACCATTTGATCTGTGTCTTTCCCAAGCCCCCCATCTCCAGCCTCTAATATCATCATTCTAATCTCTACCTCTGTGAAATGACCTTTTTTGTTTGTTTTGGGATGGAGTCTTACTCTGTCACCCAGGCTGGAGTGTAGTGGCACAATCTCGGCTCACTGCAATCTCCACCTCTTGAGTTCAAGCAGTTCTCTTGCCTCTGAACCAGCCTCCCGAGTAGCTGGGATTACAGGTGCTCGCCACCACGCCTGGCTAATTTTTGTGTTTTTAGTAGAGACGAGGTTTCACCATGTTGGCCAGCCTGGTCTCGAACTCCTGACCTCAGGTGATCCACCCACCTCGGCCTCACAAAGTGCTGGGATTACAGGTATGAGCCACCACGCCCGGCCGAGATGAACTTTTTTAGATTCCACATGTGGTATTTGTTTTTCGGTGCCCGGCTTATTTCACTTAGCATAATGTCCTCCGGTTCATCCATGTTGTTGCAAATGATACAACGTCCTTCCTTTTTTAGGGCTGAATAATATTCCATTGCATAGACACACCACATTTTCCTCATCCATTCATTTGGCAGTGGACACTCAGGTTATTTCCAGGTCTTGGAGGCTGTGAGTAGCTCTGCGGTCACCCTGGGAGTGCAGGCGCTGTCTCTTATACACATCTAGATGTGTATAAGAGACAGTGATTCTCCTGCCTCAGCCTCCTGAGTAGCTGAGATTATAGGTGCACGCCACACCACGCCCAGCTACTTTCTGTATTTTTAGTAGATAGGGGGTTTCACCATGTTGGCCAGGCTGGTCTTGAACTCCTTATCTTGTGATCTGCCCATCTTGGCCTCCCAAAGTACTGGGATTACAGGCGTGAGCCACCGCGCCCAGTCCAAGTAGCATTTTTGAATGAGTAAGCTGTGCTCTGCTGGATCTGTAGCATGCCTTGGACATACACTTTCTCCAGCTGGGATCAAAGTCTTAGAGGAATGCAAAGGCGGAGGGGCCCTCTGAGTACATGGAGCAAGGAGAGCTCTGTATCACCCCTTTTATGGAAAAACCCAGAGTAACTGCCCATGTGTTCTGTGACCTTTGATGTTAGCACGAGGAATCTTCTGAGTAGTGAGGAAACTCTTGGCTATGTTGGTGGTTTCACAGCTGTCAGAATTCACTGAATTGCACAGCTTCAATGAAGGCAGTTTGTCTGCCAAGGATTCCTTGATAAAGCTGATTAAAAATCGCTGAAGTGAAAAATCGCTGAAGGAGACTCTCCTACAGAGAAACCATTCTGCAAGTAAAACAAGAGTCAGAAGCAGGAAAGTCATTCTCTGGAGCCACTTGGTTCGATGCTAAGTTTCAAAACAAATGTAGTATTCCTTGCAACCACGAGAAGTTGGAGAGTGATTTGAAATCATTCTTTTTTTTTTTTTTTTTGAGACAGAGTCTCGCTCTGTC